TATCAGTAAGATAATTATGCTGGAAGTGCCACAGGCTGAACCTGAAGTGTTATAGCCAGCTGCAACTGCTGGTGACCCTTTTATGTGCTTAGTTTGCATACATGCAGGTATTTATTTATTTATTTATTTTTGTTACTCCAGTATTCTTCAACAGTTCAGAAACATGCGTGATAGGTTGACTGGCATCTCTAATTGTCTCTAGATGTGAGCGTTAATGGTTGTTTGTGAATGTCAACAATTCCCTTTAGTCTGGGTTCTGCTCCAACAAGCATTAGCTCATCCATACAGTCAGAATGAAACTCTGCTTCATCAAACTCTAAAATTAATCGTTCACAACTTTTCCTTAGAASAACTCCCACTTTAATATATCTGAACTATAAATAAAAAAAGGCTAAAAAAGGTTCAAGAAACAAATTCAGTTATAAAGCTGAAAAGCACCTAAGGTAGGCTAATCTAAAAATATCGCCTCTGCCGCCCACAGTATTGTAGACAATRTGGAAGTGTACTAACCTGTGGACTGGAAGACATTAGTGTTGCATTCACAGTATCGCGTGGCAAAGGCCTCCATCATTCGGTCAATTTTCTGAGCCTCACCGGGCAGACGGAAACTCCACAGGAACTGCCTATCACATGAAAACCGCAATAGACTTTTAGCAAACTTGAAATGTTCATRTAGGTTTGTGGTCAGCAATTACAGTCTACACTACAGCTCTGCATACGTTTGAATTGACAGTAAACATTTGTTGGTGCAACATTTAGATTCTTTACTGGATAAGAGAAACTGAGCCTAGCCCGTTTTATGTTATAGAATACTGCTATAGGTTTTTATAATTCATTTCATTAAAAACAAACAAAACATTTCACACAMTGAAACAATAAAAACTAGACATGGGTTTTTACGATGTAAAAACAAGTGCGCATTGCCRTGTAGCATGTCATTGCAGCATGGCTTTGCGTTCAGCAATGGACTWGCAGAATGAAGTGTGGCCAAGTTCAAATGTGTTTTCTATAACAGCTTGTGTTTGTCAAGTCAGCAGGTGTTTGTAACAAGGGTAATTGTGTGACAATATGAAGTTTGTAGAGATTTTCTGCTAAAGTTGCTGTTGCTGGGTTTTGAACCTTGATCTCCACATGAAAGCCCATGACACTAACCATTAGACCATTGGTGCTGTGGCACAGAAACCTGCCAGGGGTTGTTTTGTATATATGCAGAAAGAGGCCACATTGCCAATGTAATGGTTGTCACTAATTTGAAATATATTACAACAATAAAGCAATATTAGGACAATATTATAGTAAAATATCAAAATACAATCAAATTAGTATTGTAAACACAGAACTATTGAGTTGAAATATAATGAAACTATAGTGCAGTACCACATTGTGTAGATGCAGCAGGGGGCAGTATTGGACCAATACAAGGCTCAATTGACKGCCATTATAATTTTTTAAACATTAATATTTCATAAACTAAATGTTTTATAGGCACCAAAAGGCATAGCCATCATTTGGAACAGGAGCTTTATAGATATAAATTACAATGGCAGCTATAGGATAAAGTATGCAGGAGGAGAAGCATGCCAAAGTTGAGATGACTTGGATGGGAAATGAATCACAATAGTGTGCAGTGTATTGGCAATGCACACTGATAAAACAAAATGAAAGGAAGCAGCATATGAAAAAAAAAATCTTATGATATCTGCTCCTTAAAGTTAATTAAATGTACAATACAGAACATGTTTAGYCACAAAATAGCCACTAGCAAGTTGGCTGGCTTGATGGAACCAATGTGGAGGTCATATATAAATGTCAAAATGTAAATATATGCAGAAAGGTTTGCAGAGAGAATCATTACCCATTACCACCATTTCAAGTGAACCCATGGTAAATTGTCCTTTCTGTTTAAAACCAGAGCCGTTTCTTTGACACTGTGTTGCTTTGTTTGTAACATTTCTGTAGCTGAATAGAAAATATGAATAATTTTGCTTATTTTCAAACTCCAGTTGATCCAGACAGTTGGCAGCCCATCCAGATCCTGGTTTTGCTGGAGGTTTATTTGTGTTAAAARGAAGTTGTTCCTTTCAATTGTCACCTGTGCTTGTTTAGGGTGGAAAAGTTTGACGAAATGGACATTTGATGGCTAACTTTGACTATTTGGCATTTTTTTAAGGTAAGTCAATGTGCAATCATAGTATTTGCTTTTACAATGAGAAAATGCCTTGCTGGTAAAAAAAAAAAAAGAGAATAAATACATTCTGGTTATTATATGACTTTGTTAACAGCACATTGATTGTGGTAGAAGAGGCATCACTATGGATGCACAACAACATAACTACAAGGGAAAGTTGCCATTATAATCTTGCTCGCCCTAAAATCTCCCAAGAATTGTTGGCTTTTTTCACTGACAAGCTGGTTCTGAACTCTATACCAAGGCGTTGGCTGGATGGCCAAAGCATCCAGATCATTCGAAAAAAAAAAAGAAAGAAAAAAAGTATGTTTTTCTGAAGTCTCCTGAGTTGGTTTGTGTGTGGTAAAAGATGTCAATAACTCAGCTAGCTAGTTTTAATGTTCCATTGAAGGTGTCAGTTTAGAGCCACCGCACTCCTACGAGCTGCTAAAAATAGAATCTGTGGCAGCTTGTGTGGGCTGGTACAAAATTGTGTTAAAAAGTCGTTTATGTTAACAGAAATTTGGAATTTTTTCAACATTTAGTAAATTTGCTTATTTGTTTTATTTGGTGTCTTTGCCAACCTTTTATTTTCTTTATTGTTATAGAAGAACAGGGTATTAAARGTGAATTACAATGAATTTCAAGACATTGCAAAGGTCCCAAAATATTAATACAGAGGTTGACCTTTTACATCCCATGGAAGCCAAGAAAGGCATGCAGGAAAAAAAATTGCCTTTTTTTTTGCATAACCTTTCCTATATGTTTTTTCATATTTCTACATTATTGCAGAAATGTGTTAACACACTTCTCTGTATGCCTTTGTGTCCAGGACCTTTTTTTCTGCCTGAAGGGAGGTTGAAGTGAACTACTGTTCTTGACAGTAACTTGTAAAYGAAGGTGGGCGGTCAAACGTCTGTAACAAGTAAACCACAATATCCTGTTTACACCCAATCAACGATGTCTACACTGCCTCATGCGTTGTTAGACAGAAAGGTGTGTAAAATTACTCTCATTTCTTAGTTTGGTGGACCATCTCATCTAACATCAGTTACATTTTCCATAACAGAAGAAGAAGACTAACCTGAGAGCCTGAACCAGGCTGAGGTTGGAGAACTCGTGCAGCTCCACAAAGGCCTTTAAGGTCTGAAGGTGGAGCTCGTCCCTGTGAGAGGAAAACCACAAGAATGAGACCAGTTTTCACCACCCTCTTGTGTTAGTCTAACAGCTATTTTGTTTCTAATGTCTGTGACGATTTTTCAAAATTTTAAACAAACTTCATATAGGCCTACAAATAAATCCTTTTTAATCTCCTTTCTTTTAAAGAGGGGTGCAACGATACAGGAAATTCACGGTTCGGTTCAATACTTTAGTCTCAGTGGATCTGCACTCAACAATGCAGCCTAGGTGGAGTAGTCGAACACAGATCCACTGATCCTTTAATACAGAGCATCTTCAGAAGACAAGTTGATAAACTAAATTTTTAAAATCTGTATTGTTCGATACAAGTGTGTATTGAACCTAAAGCACTGTGTTGAATGGTTTGATACAGGTACATTTATTGTTGCACCCCTACTTCTTATTATTTGCTAGATCAGGGATGGGCAACTTAAATGACAGAAGGAGGCATTTTTTTGTTGACCACTAGAGGGCGACGTAGTCCTCCACACTTACCC